CTCTGGGCTGCCCCTGGTGTGTCTGCGCTGGACTGGGGGCTCTGGGCTGCCCCTGGTGTGTCTGCGCTGGACCGGGGTCTCTGCGCTGGACTGGGATAATTTGGATGGGTGGATGGAGTGATAATTTAGCTTGGATGGGCGAGAAAGTGCTCAAGTACAGCAAAATCCCACCACGCTGGTCTCCTTAACTCTCCAGCTGCGGGCTCTGGGGAATGCGGGCGGCAGCAGGGGCATCCGTGTCCTGGCCAGGCCCGGCTCAGCAGGCTCCGTCTCCAGAGCGGGGATCCCCTGACCAGGCTGGAGAGGGCGCTCCTTCCAGTCAGCATGTCCTCCACCTCGTTGACACACCACTGCCACCTACCCGGAACTTCCTGCGGAGGGCGCTGTTGACCTGGAAGTCGTCCCTCCAGGCCTCCTGGTGCTCCTGGATCTGGGAGAGGGTTGGGATAGCGGCACGCAGCTTCTCCCGGTCCTTCCCGCCGTGCTCCAGCCGGAACATGGCGTCCGTCTCCAGCTTCTCCTTGTCGCTGCGCTCTGAGACATGGGGAGACACAGCGGGAGAATGACACAGCCCAGCCCAGCAGCGGAGTGAGGGGTGAGCCAGGAGAGGGGCAGGGGGAAGGGGGTGCCATACCGGTCACCAGAATCTGCTCGTTGTCTGCAGGGTCCCAGCGCTCCTCCTTGCGGCAAGCCCCGCTGACAATGACGTAATCGCAGCTGGCTGGGTCCGTCTGCATCTCGATATAGTTCACACACAGGTGACACTTCATCCTGAACCTGAGACACAGAGAGAGCTTCATCCTGAAATTGTCTATCTCTCACACACATCTTCCTCTTCATCCTGAACCTCTCACACACACCAGAGGAGTGCACACGCTATCCATACAATTCCATTGTACCAGTACCGGTTACATATGGCAATAATGTTCAGGTTCAAGTTCATACCTGTAGATAGGGGTGGTGTAATAGTTCCCCACCTTCTTCTTCTCAGCATTGTATCGTACCCCTGCAGCACAGAAAAGATGAGAAGCACTGAGCATGCTCGCACGCACACTCTCCACTGAGCACAGGAGTGCTCGCGCGCTCGCACGTTTGCACGTTTGCTTGCACGCACACACTCCGCTGAGCACAGGAGTGCTCGCTCGCAACCCAATCACACAACGGCAGAGGAAAGAAGGCTGACACGGGGAGGAAAAGGGTGAGGGGTACAGGCTCATACCCATGCCAATGTGGTTCTTGCAGCCATCACACCAGATGTTGTAGGGCATCTCAAACCTGCAGACAGACAGGTGTCACTGGGACCATCTCACCCACGGGAGCCACGCAGAGATTAGTCTATAGTATTCAAGCTGGTACAGAAACAGTATTGTACACTACAGCTTGCTATAGTCCACAGTGTGTGATTCTCAATGCACGTTACCCTGTGTGCACTGCAGTGACTCACCGGATGATGAGGATGCCCTGGGACAGTTTCCTGGCCCTCTCCCGCAGAGGGTGGCTGTTCCTGTAGCCATTGAGTGACCCATGCTGGAAGACAGACATACGCAAACTGAACTTTTTTCCCCAATTAGAGGCCCTCTTTTTGCTTAAATCACGAATTTCTAGTTGCAAGTATACCTACAAGGGTGGCATGACTGCAAAATGGTTAGCACTTCTGCCTCGCAGTGCTGGGGCCCTGGGTTCAATTCTGGACCAGGGGTGCTATCTGCGTGGAGTTTGTATGTTCTACTCATAATCGCTTGGCTTTCCTCTGGGTGCCCCAATTTCCTCCCACAGTCCAAAAACTTACTAGTAAGTTAATTGGGTTCTGGGAAAATTGGCCCTGTTGTGAGTGTGTGTGTCTGTGTGCCCTGTGATGGACTGGTGTCCTGTCCAGAGTGTATGCCACCTTGTGCCCACTGCTTGTTGGGACAGGCATCCTGAATTAAATGAAGCGGGTAGAAATTGGACGGATCAGTAAAATCAGGAGTAGTCAGGGAAATGCCTGTGTATTTATTTGTTGTTATGCCTGGACCACATTGCTATTGACCTGTCATGCCTACAAAGCATGACTCAGAATGGATATGAACTCTGCGTCACACAGACAGACACACCAAGCTTGCCTCTCGCCCTTGTCTCACTCTCTCACCTTGGCAGGGTCGAAGTCAGGGGGATAATATTTGTTCACTCCTTTCCGCTCCCCCTGAAAGAAAAAAACCCACAAATGAACACAAAGCATAAGAGGACTGAGAAACGTGAGACAGACTCAGAGGGAAGACTGCAGACAGGCAGAGACCTCACAGGTACAGGAGAGGGGGACAGAATGGCCACAGCTCAGAGCACAGGGAGAGAGGAGACGGGAGACAGAGAAGGACAGAGAGTGAGGGAAAAGGAACAATGAAGAAAGATCAGAGGAGCTAGTGATCAGTTCTCACCATCTTGAGTCTGGGGCCACTGACACTGAGGACAGCGTTTCACACTCAGAACACAGGACACCTCAGGAATAGCACACACCCCGGTCACTACAGCACCCCAACACCTCTGGAATAGAACACACTCCGGTCACTACAGCACCCCGACACCCCGAAACCTCTGGAAAAGAACACCCCCCCCGGCACCTGTGGAATAGAACACACCCCGGTCACTACAGCACCGCGTCACTACAAGCACCCCAACACCCCGACACAGCTAGAATAAAACAGACCCCTATCACTACAAGCACCCCGACACACCTATAATAAAACACAACCCGAAAGCCCAAAACCGCGTGAACAGAACACGGCGTTGTGAAACACAAAACTATGAGAAGAAACTACCAGAGAACTGTAACTCCTTTTGGCCTGTGGAGATTGTGTTATTAATGTTGTTACATCACAAAAAAAAACAAGTATATTTACATTATATAAACAAAGAAAGGTTTCAAAAGACGCTCGGAAGCGATACACAGCAGTGACGTAATTAATAATATGTTCAAAATACAAACATATACATCTATATTTCAGTAAAATAATAAGTAACGACAGACGTAAACAAATTACTATGCAATACTCACGTTAGCTCCTCTCGAAAATTGTTCGACGTCACTTCCTTTGCGTGGGAACGAAGTGAATGTGAATGGTCTAAATACATTAATGATAGGTGAAGGTAAATACCAGGCACATCGATAATTACCATGTAAATCATATAATCTATTTGTTTAAGCTAGTGATTTCTAACTTGAAAAAAAAAGAGATATTGCGAAATCGCTCGTGGAACTATTCGGCTTTCGTCCCCTTGGACCAGACGGACACATTAAACCGGCGGACCAGTGTTTTGGTGAGTGCGCTGTTTGCTGTATCATAACTGCCTTCTAGTTATAAGTTAGTGGTTTTCACAGTTGAAATCTGAAATTAATTCGTGAGACAAAGAGAGGTATTATTCTCCTCTGTGACTGTTAAAGTTCCAAAGATATAAGGAAGCCGTATACGGTTTATTAAGACGGGTAGCGTAAATGCTGTTGTATTCGTTTGATTTATGCCTTAATGCAAGTACACGTACAATAAAAACAACCACTGGCTTGAAAAATGAACATTGTGTGATACCGAGGCTAAACAGTGTTGAGATAAGAACTAGTATTACTACAAGTAGTAATAAAATCCTCGCAACACCGTGTGTGAGCCGTGAGCACGGTGTGAACCTCTATTTTCAGGGTGTCTGAAGTTCAGTGTCCTCTGCTCGCACTCTGAGCCCCACACAGCGTGGCTCTGTAGCCCTGCAGTGCGACACCCGTGGAACTGAAGAGCCTTCTCTCTGTATCTTCGTCTGTACCGCTGTGGTGACCCCGGCTTTTCGCAGACATGACGTCCCTGGTGAGGACCGAGAGAGAGGCGGTGTGGTGTCTGTTCTGTCCGTGTCTGCGCCTCTCGTTTCTCTCCCCTGTCCCTCTGTCTCTCTGTACCTCGGTCTCCGTTCAGTCAAAGGGCTTCAGTCTGTAGGCTTAACAGAAAGTGGACACGGATTTGTGCTGTAATCTCCCTCACTCTGATCTCACCTTCTCTCTCAGGGGAGCAGTTCTTCGTCTGCCATGGAGTATGTCGTCAGAGTGCCCAAGTGAGTGTCTGCATTGTCCTGCTTCTCTGGGTCATACAGTACTCCCGGTGCTGTCCAGTATCGGACTGGACCGCTCTGGGTCATACAGTACACCTGGCGCTGTCCTGTATCGGACTGGACCGCTCTGCGTCATACAGTACTCCCGGTGCTGTCCAGTATCGGACTGGACCGCTCTGGGTCATACAGTACTCAGAGTGCTGTGATTAACCCTGTGACTCTCTTTTGCCCTAGAAACACCAATAAGAAGTACAACATCATGGCCTTCAATGCAGGAGACAAGGTCAATGTCTCCACCTGGACTCAGGTAAGGCTCAGTGAGGAAGAGGAGGCAGCAGTGTGTGAGGCTCAGTGAGGAA